TGGGATTGCATGCAGGAGGTGTTATTTTTGGTGACCTGTTAGGGGAATAGGGGTAAGAGTAGGAGAGAACAGCAGAAGTGGAGTTTGAGAGAAAGATACAGAGGGTATTTTTGTAAACTATACTGTAGCTGTTGTTAACTGTTACTGCATTTGTTTTCTGTGGCCTCTGTTTTAAGGTAATGAGGGAATACTGGCGTGCCAGCTCCTCCCATCCGTGCCCTGCCTGCTGCACTGCCGCACTCACTCAGGGATGCTGGCTTTGTGGTTCCGATCGCCTTGCTCTGCTCTGCCAGATGGTTTGCTTTACCAGTGTCAAAAGGCGATGGAGGAATCCTAATAACAATAGTGCCTGCCTTAATCCATTTGGTGTGTGAAAAGCAAATCAAAGATTTATACAGTTGCACAGATAATTACCAAAGCTAAATTAAGATGTTGCTTCTCAGAAGTATTCCGAGTTTTCTTCCAGCTTGCGTGTGTGATGGTGGACGTGTGGGGGAAGAACAAGGGCCTAAATTACGCCTGCAAAACCGTGCTCAGGACTGTACAGTGACTAACAAGCAATTCATTAAAGTATTGTTACCCGTTTAAGTGAAATGTACATTTCTTAATTTTGTTGTAAATGACTGAAAGTATTTATTTTTATTACACAGCTTTTATAGATGCCAGTAAGTATTTCTTATAGCAAATACTTCAATATGATTTTAAAGAAAACATGTCCGTTATGAGGTCAGACTTGAGCAGTTATCAGGATTATCTAATTTCATTTTGATATTTTTTCTAAAGCTATTTTTAAGTACTGCTGGCAACAAGACCCGTATTGGTGGTTGTATAAAGTGACTTATATAGCAACAAATGCGTGTTTTGAAAATAGTTTAAAGATTTTAGTGAGCAACACGCTTCCCATGATCTTTGATGTTTTACCATTTAAGTGGTGACATCTAAATAGGTTTCTGCTAGGAGGCAAGTGTGACATTGAATCGAAGCACCTCCTGGGGGATGATCTAAGGCCCTTCAGGTTAGTTCCTGTCTGCAGTTCTTCCTGCCCCGTGTTTCAGTCACGTTCTGTTTCACGGGGGTCTGTGACAGACACTGAATATTGATGTGTGTCCAACGATAAGGTTCATGTGGGTCGAGTCTGAGATGACTGAGCTGGGAGTGGTTGGCTGTGGAGACACGCTGGCTCATTGGTGCTTGGCTGGTGGACATCTTCATTGCTCTCCAGTCAATCCTAAAGATTTAATCTGGCCAATCTCCCTGTCCATGAAAATCCACATGGAGGAAATATTAATTTATTTTTACTTCTAATTATTTACAGCCTGAGTTGGCTTGCACAGATGTGGCTGTGTTGTGTGCGCACGGCTTGGAACTGCAGTAAGGCATGAGAGATCTAAATCAGAGCAAGATACATGATGAATGTGTCTGTCTAGATTGTCTCCTTTTCTTCCTGAAATAGCCTCACAGTCTTGAAAATCCAGCAATTTTAATTTATTTAGATGCTAAATTAAAACTTTAATAGTGTTTATTATTTATAACTGGTTATGTTTTTTATTTAAAAACATCGAAGACTGTACACACGGTTCAGACATGGCTGAGATGGATTCTACAGTGGAATTCCCTCCTTTGTGTGTTTAATATTAACAAGGAAATTCTTTGTTATTTCAGTGTTACTGATTCTCACCTGATAAGCACTGGTTGTAAAGGAAAATAAAGTATTGTTATTTTGCTAATGTTTTGGTAAATGTTCATGAAATCATCATAAGAATGATAATTTCTTTTTTGTTTTGTTTTGGTTTTATTTACATCAGACCACTTGTGTTTATCACAAGTACAATCATATAAGCAAAGCTCTTTTTTTTTATTGCTGTTTCAGTACCCTCTTACTGAAGAATTTAAAGTGCATTGAACTTGTAAATACTTAATGTTTTGCATAGTTTAATGTTTACCTGGCACTTGAAGACAGTTCATATAAATTAAACTAATTTATAGTGGGATAACTTCCAGCAAACTATTTCCCTGCTGTTAAATCACATTTCTGTTATGCAACTGGACTTTTGTAATCTTATGAACTGTAGTAGAAGTATCTGGATTTGGCCTATGCATTTATACCATTTCAGCAATGAGATGTTCAATGTCCTAGCATCTAAAAAGAACAGTACAAGATGGTAACACCTTCTACTGTCCATGAAATGTCTTCTATAACCTTCTTAGCCATATGAATAGTGTATGTTAAGCTGTCAATATGCACATTTAGAGCTTTACACTAACATTACATTAAGGGCTTTGCAGGGAGCTGTACCTGGGTCAGTCTTTATTTTTAGATTGCCCAGCAAGTACTTATCTTAGTCTTATCACCATCTTTGCTATTCTTGTAGTTTAATAAAAATCAGTTTTGTTAAAAAAAAAAAAATTAACTTGATACTTGTTAAATATTCTTTGCTACCTCATGTAGCAGTGTTTCTGCATATTAAGAACTAGGTTCTATTTCAATTGGTTCTCTTTGCATCTGGACAGTGATGAAGCATGTAGCACTGCAGAAGTCTTAAATCCGTTGGTCATTTAAGTGTCCTGTGTTTCAGTTGGAGGTATAAAAAGTGAGAGTACACTTTAGATCTTTTGAACAGCATTCTGTGTGCCAGCTCACGTTATCAGACACACTTTTTGGAATACTACCAAATTGTGGGGATTTAGTTTTAGGCATCACAGGAGCCTTTGGGATCTCTTACTTGTAGTTGACAGCAACAGCATGGTTGGTTTTTTAAAGTCCAGTGCTAATGTAGCACACTATCTGCTATAGTATTGAGGAGGGGTTGGGAATTTGGGAAGTTTGATATAATTTCTGAATTGAAGGTGGTTGCAGCCCTGATCTAAATCTTGGGGGGCTGTTCTGTGTGGGATGGCTGCTGTTGTGTACCAAGAGGGCATTGCTACACCTCAGGTCTGGCTGATGTAGGGAGCTTAGGCCCTCAAGAACTTCAGCAATTCAGTGCAGAGAATCCCTCTGATTGTCATCCATCATCCAGTTGTCTCTAAAATGAAATATGGCTGCATAAGTAATTATCCAAAGGAGTATTCTTTCATCTAGTTCTGTATTGGAAATCCTTTAGTGGGTATCTTCTGTGGTGTTGGCATTTACTTCTCTTTTGTGCCTTATTAAAACTTGAAGGATTAACCAACTGGTTTTCAGGGAAAGGGCAATAAGGTGCATGGAAGTAGGCTAGAAGGAAGAGAGCAAGTCATCCAGTTAGCATGAAGAAGGTTACTTTCAAGGGGCAACTGGAGGCCAGTCAGAGCATGTACTGACCTTTCCAAACTGGCAGGTTAACAGTGTTTTGAACCAAACCCCTGCGTACCAGGAGACACAGCTCTATTGCTGTTCCATGCCATGGGCAACTCAGCGGTCTGGATGCTTTGGAGTCAACAGATAAGTGATTGTATTGGATCCATATTTCAACTGTTTCGTCAGGTTCTCCCCCTTACCCCAAGTATTTTCAGATATTTTTCATGAAACAAATATATTGGTAGGAAAAGTGGTGGATGTGCAACATGGCAGGATGATGCACTATGTTCTCCTAAAGATAGGTCAGATCTCCCATGGTGTTACGTTACTTTCTGCTAGGAGTTCCCAACTCCTCCTCTTCCTGTAAGGACTGGAGAGAATAAATTTGTGTAATGGATGTCACTGTCTTGAGGTTTTCCTATACTTGTAAGTAGCTCATAAATGATACTGTCTGCTGGTTTCTAAATATTGGAAAGGTACTTATCTCGTATGGAGTCCCACTAGTGATTTTTCAGCATAAAAAGCTGTATTATGTTTTCTGTGCAGATAAGACTATGTATTGTCTTTTTCTGGCATTGAGGTATGTAAAACTGGAAGTAGACTGCTTAAGGCATCCGGTTGTGATTTGCTTTTGCATTTCTGTCCCTGAGATACGAGTGAATTGTGCTTTACCTCTTGGTTCTCCTCAGGGTCGGGTATTGATGTGCCTTTCTGTGAGGATGTGTCTCCAACACAAATAGGATCCTGTGTTCAGTGCTCTTCCCTGGTGCACGTACAATTTCATTAGGGTGATGGAAGTGGTCACTCCCTTGAGTTTCTTTAACATTAACATTTTCCTCTGTAACTTTATTACATAAAGTTGGCAGTGATGAAGCAGAGAATATTGTGTCCTGCCATGATATGATTCATAAAATTAACCTGACAGCAGTGTTTTATCAGCGGCAAGGCTTAAAGCACCACTTACGAAGATTGCTTTAAACTTTTATTTTAAGGTAGTTGGCAGTTTTCTCTTTGTGCCAATCTTTAATTGCTTCCAGTATAATTGCTGTGTGAGTTGTTTGCAAATCCTGAGCTCTTTCAGCCAAAACAGTTTGCTTTTTCTGGGAATAAGGATAGGAGAATATATGCTTGCTGCTGTTCAAACATTCTGGTAGGTTCTAGCATCTCCGTGTTTTGGGCAGGGATTTGAAATCTGTCAGGGATGCGTCTGTCTCACTTAAATCACGCTTAGCTAAACTGAGCTAAATACATCATGGAAAACTCACAAAGTGCTTGGTGGAGAGCTAGACCGTGGTGTCTCCCATCTGCTGAGGCACCGTGGCTGAGCCGGGGAGGGGCTGGTACCGAGGGCAAGAACCTCGTGCTGTTTCCCCCCCAGGGCCCGTGAGGAGGGACTGAGCCCAGAGACTGAGCCCCGCTGCTGAACACACCGAGCCAGCATCGCTTGTACTGAGCTCTCACGGGCTTGAGAACTTTGTGGAAAATCAGAAATTTCCATGTTTGTGTTGCATCCGAGTCATGCAACAGAAATGTGGTTTTCCGGTTTTCTTTTAAACCCTTAAACTGTCCATCTACTGACCTCCTGCCTCCAGAAAAAACCTGGTCTCCAAGGTTGCAGAAGTTGAAGGTGCTGAAACTTAGATTATGTGAATCCCCTCGTTTTACTGATTAATTTCAATTTAAATTGGATGGCAGAATAAATAAATGAAAAAGAAGCAAAAAGGGCAGTAATCACACATTTTTAATCCACAAATATGATAATACATCATATACTTAAGGTGACCTGAACATTGCCCTTATTTTAGCAATGTTATTACATACCAAGCTACAAGTACAAAAGTAAACAATGAATATACAGTATATGCAAGTACGAGAAATACTTGAAAACATTCTCTTTCCTTAAGGCTACTCAGATTTATAAATAAAACAACAGATGTTCAGCTGGTTTGTCTAAAATACCAGAATCTGAATATTGATACTTGCAACACACAAAAAGAAAGTCACAGACACAGGATATCCCTTTCCTTTGGACATCTTGAATGTTCAATTTTTTTTTTTTCTGGTGTTAAAAAAGGAACTTAAATTTGTTTGCCACGAGTGAAACACGCAAAATCTGACATGGGTGCACTGGGACAGGAGTGTCAGATACAATAAATACTGTTCAAAAGCATCAGTTGACGAGTACGTGCTTGGAAAAATGCAGCTAATGGTGCGTGTCAATATGGCTGGGCCCCAAATGTGGGTATTTCATGACTGTGCTGTGTTGCAAAGGAATTGTCCACCTTCATTGCTATTTAATATACTTTTTATGGTTAAAGGAAATAGGTGAGGAAAATTACATTGTCTTGTGCTGCCATTTTTACTGTGCTCCAAAATGAGTTCTGGGAACAGATAAAAATCCATATAGCACAGCTCTAGTGACTGAATGGTTTCTGGGTGTGTGTGTTCTCAACCGTGTAAAGGTGTGAGTGTCAGAATTGTTGTTGCAAGAGATACAATATAGTTATTCTGGAAAAGAGGAAAGATGGAAGAAGAACAAAACTTTGAGCAGTTTCCTCTACCACCAAAGTATTGAAGAGTTTAAATGAGAAACATAATTTTTTCTTATCCTAAAGTAATGGGTGATTGACACTGGAAGTCTTCCTCGGAGAGGAATGGCTTTCAAATATATTTGCTTGTCTTTGTCAATTTTCAAGTACATGCATCTCTGTATTATAATATATGTGATATGGAAGGTGTTACCTCCAGATAATGGGATTGTCTCCTATCTGCGTCCACGAAAAGGAGTTGGACGTGACGCTGAAGTGTCAGTGGGTAGAGGTGAGTCTGGAGGGTGAGATGTAGAGGGCAAGGAGAGGAGAGATTTCCCAACATCCTTCCTTTACTTAGGGTCAGTGGGATTATCCAAGTGGCAAGTTGGTGTATCTGCTCTGCTCTGATTCTCCCTCAATCCTAACAAAATTGCACAGAAACCAGTATTTCTTTGCAAAGTGTTCTAAGTTTGAAGACATCACTGTATTTTGTTTAAAACAAAAAGAAAAAAGAGTCACTGAAAATATTCTGACCAAGTCAGTCATTCATCAAGCTCCCCAGAGTCACTAAGACAGTTCTCTTAAGCCTCCTGTGGAGACACTACACTTGGAGGGCACCACAAGCATAGTGATGGGCTTCCTTATCACACCTCTGCTTTCCCCTAGGCACAAATTAACATCATGGACACTTTACACCGCGAGTTTTATTTGGGCTGAGTATTTTGGGGACAGGGGCTGTAAACGTCGCTTTGTAGCTCCATTGGTGTCTCAGTCGTGCTCTTCTTCACAACTGCGATTTCAGAATCTTCACAGAGAGTATTTTGTTCTGGCAGGTGAAACAGTAAAGAGCGCAAAGAGCAGGACAACCTTCAGCCTAAACTCATTGGGCAGAACCAAACATATGAGCCCTGAGAGTGGGGAAACCCATGTACTACTTTATCTAGTTTTCTGGGTACCTTTGAGCTTGAACCACTGAGCTGCTTTTCAAAATTAAAATTAAACCTTCTCTGTTATTATCAGGTATAAAACAAAACTCTTTAATGAAAATATTGCTTCATAGTGCAGCTCCTTAGATTTTTTCCCCACTTCTGCTCAGTTTGCATTATATGTTATTCCCCTATTAGTCTTGAATATTATGTAAAATTAGACTTTTTGATTTTTGATTCTTGATCCTTTTGAAAAGAGGGAGCTCAATCCATCACAGCCCAACTTTCTGTCTAAGCTTTTTCATTTAGCGTGGGAATAATAAAAACATAGGCACCAAGGGCAGCCTGGGGGTACATTCCATGCGTTGCTCATTGCCTTCACTCGTCTATTTTAACACAGCCATGCGCTTGAGTTTACTTTCTGTTCACTCGTTCAGCCTCGAACACAAAGCCAGGAAGGTCACGGTGTATCGCAGTCTGTTTCTAACAATGTATGTCAGCAGCCTTGTTCGCTCCGCTCCTTGGAAACAACAGAATTATCTGAACAAAACAGGAAAATTGATAGCTTTCTGATTGAAGTTTTCCACTTCATCACGAGCCTGGTGAGCACTTTCTGGCCCCTGCTGGAGACTTGAGTCAGATACCGGTCGGAAGGAAGCTTGCTTGCTCACCACGGCTCATGAAGGGTGGCCAGTTCCAGAGAGAAGTTTTTGGTTGGTTTCTTGGTTTTGAGCGTAGTTTCAGAGGATCTTCTCATCAAGTAGTTTGTTGATGCCATCGCAGATCTTTTTGAGGTATGGCCGACAGTCCCCGTCGAGACTGTACAGGGCAGTTAGAAATTCCACATCCGCAAAGTGGTTGAAGACGTGGTTGATGCGCCCGTGGGATCTGGGTGTCAGGTGTCGATCTACGAGTTCATGCACAAGGTCTTTACATTCGTTCAGAAGTTCTGCAAGAACATTTCTGTCAAAAGTGTATTCTACCTCGTAGAAACTGACGATTGTCATGGCGGTTTGGTTCAGCTTCTTCCTGAACTTGTCAACGATTTCCAGCTCTTCTTGGTTGAACTGATTATTTCGATAGAGGATCCCGATTTTTATTGCCACTTTAATCAGGTCTTTCATAATTTTATGGGCTTCCTTTTTGTTTCTCTTGTGTTCCTTGGTTACTTTGTACAGCTCATCGAAGATTTCACTGCTCGTGTCATCAATTAGCATGTTAGCCATGGTTTTGGTTGCCATTTTACTCAGGATCTTTTTCTGGGCTTGCAGTGCGAGATTCTTGGAACTGAAACAATCAGGCCCTGTTTTGGGACAGCAGAGGAGGAAGAAAACGTTAATTTTATTTGGTGACTAATTTTCACAATCAGTTAAGGAAAGTAGTACCTGTGGGCTTAACTGAGACATTACTGATCCTCACGTGTACTCACGATTGCAGTAACGGGAACACTTCCAACGCTCTGTTTCCAGAGATCCTTGGGCTCTTGGACACCTGTGTTTTAGGTCTTACTGAGGTTTTTTGCTTACAAATTAAGAACAGAATATTCTGGCAGGGGATATCTATGCTGGTTCTTTGCCAGTCTTTAAATTTTGAAGTTCAATATTAAAGCTTTCTTGGCAGAGAAATCTGTTGAGATATGTGGTCAAAATAATACATAAGCCATCAGAGATGAGCAAAAGGAGCTACTGACAAATACATGAACCTGAAAAAATTACAGTTTTGGTCATTGGGAGGCACTGTTGTTGCACAGTTAGACTAAGCAGCATCTCAGCTAAGGGATAATAAAACAGATTCCTAAGCGTGGATTTATTTTGCTTTAATCTCTAGTAATGATGCCTTTCCCATTTGTTACCAATTTGCAAAAGTATAGAGTGTGGGTTTTGTAAAACGCTGGTGCTTCAGTGCCTGTGGTTCCCGCCTCATGAAAATACCTGAGCTATTTGATCTATGTTTATCAAATGAATATCTCAGATTCTTTATCTTTCACCCATATGTGCAAGTTTGACTCAGCACAGCACCTGGGCATGTGGCTACTCCTCCTGGACTTTATCCAAGAGCTCCTATGATTACTGCTAGAGGTTAATTTGACCTCCCTCTGTTTTTCACGTTAACGTTGGTTTTTAACTGACTCTTACGTGGACAGAGTAAAGGAAGGGGAAAGATTTAATACGAAATAATCATTCAGTTTAACACCTTGGTAGTAAAGTCTCTGTTGGATCAAAGCACATTTGACGGTTGTGGCACAAGGGTGATGGGTGTGTGTGTTACACACTCGGGCTCACAGCCGGAGAGGTGGGTGCTGGCAGTGGCCTCTCCGGTAGGACATGCTTTCCTCGCCCTCCCCTCGTGTCTCCCCTCAGCATTTGCTCACACTCTGGAGGTCCCCAGCTTTCCCTGCCAGCTGGGGACCTTGCTCTGCTCACCGGGACATCACAGCCCTGGATGGAGGTAACCATGTCCTTCACCAGCTGCTGGGGAATCAAACCACTAAGAGATTAAAAATAACAAAAATCACAGCTTCCAGCGCTCGTTTGATTTTGGAGCCTGTGTGGGTCTTAGGGTGAGCTCCGGAGCCCCTTTTCAGCCTTCAGGACATGAGTGCTCAGCTGAGACACCACGATGTCACCCTGCTGTCACCACACTGTGTGGCCGTCAGTCTGTCTGTGTCTGTGGTGGAGTCTGACCCCCAGATTCACTCAGACTGCCCTGGGTTCACCGCAGCCTCTCCTTCTTCCCCAAGGCTAAAGGGCTGTGGAGGCCAGTGCTCACTTGGAATAAGTAACACTCTGAATTTAAATAGTCTGCTGTTTAAATCCTATTTTTCAAGTTAGCTGGAATATTAAAGTTGTCATCTTTCTTTGTGCGCTACAGCTGTACTACTGAGCAATATGAAAGAGTAACATTTAATTTCAACTGAGCCACCACCTGGAAAAAATAATTCAATGTGCTTAAAAGAATTGCCTGTCATTTGGAGAGAAAATTGTGGGGCTGAGCTGCTGACTGCAGGAAATAGAAAAACTGTGATTTAATCTAGAAATGATAAAACCAGGCTGAAAGCATTCTTTCACTTAGCAGTACGTGGGTATATAAATAGTATCGGTGATGAATAATTATGTGCATTTGACACAGTAAAATGGAAGATTAATATTAGTGTCTGTTTCTGTAGTAAGCGTTCGCGGTTAATCGAGTGGACGCAGTTGTTCAGCATCTGTTTTGATCAAAACCTGAATATAATTTCGGTAGATTTTCAGCATGTTAATTTTACCAACGTTCTCAACACTTGGGGCTCTGTGTGGCTTCCACCAGGTGAGAGCCCGGCCATCCCCGCCGTGCCCAGCTCTGCTGCGGGCAGAGCTTTGCAGAGCCCCGCCGGTCCCTGGCTGGAGCGGTGCCCGCAGAGGTGGGACACAGCAAGGGGGGGGTGAGCAAAGTACCGTGTCCCTCAGGACCAGCCCAACCACCAGCACCTTCTCAAACAGGCACGTGGCTGCCCTCCCATCTGTGTGATTTCTGAGGGACAAAAACTGATTCCACAGCATCACAGCAGAAGTGAGGTTTGTCTGGCACCAAAGAAGTTGTTCTGGGGTATGTTCTGATATTCCAAGTCCATGCTCTCATCCACAAAACTTCCCAGTGTCATCTGTGAAGATGCCACCTCTGGGCTTGCTACCCAGGACAACGATGGCCCAGCTCCCAGCAGAAGGTGTGAGCCCAGACAGGCAGCGCAGCCCCAGAGCAGCAGCCCCAGTTTAACTGAACGTTAAGGCTGGGCCATTTTTCCACGGCAAGTCCCAACTGTGGGACCTGCTGTTTAACAGCATGAGGCTGAGCTCCTTCTTGTCTTTCTAAAAATAAAATAAATCTGGTTTTACATTGGAGCTGCTAAACTTTTCTGTAGAAGCTGTATTTCCCATTCCTCCATGATGTCCTTTACCAGGCCCTAACTAATGCTTTATCCTCCTCCTCCTCCTCTCGTATCTCTTGCTCTCTTCTGTTCAATCCAAGACCCCAGTTTCATGCCTCGTGTTCCTGCTGTGACACCCTTCTCCGCTTCATGCTCCTGTCTCTCCAGCCTGTCTCACCAGGGCATCTCTAGCAGCTCCAAGTGCTCAGAGCCCTCAGAAACAGGGCAGATCCAAGTACCCTGTGCATGCTTCTGTCCCCTGCCTCCTTCTGTCCTTTGTCCTGCTCTCTATATTGTAGTATCTCTGGTAGCTGGTAGTGAGTTCCACCACCAGGACTGCCACGTGCTCTCTCCCAACAGACAAGGTCCCGGTGGGGAAGGGCTGTGCTCCGTGGGGACACAGGGCAAGCTTGTGCATCTGCAGCATTCCGTGGTGCTCTCTGTTAGATGGAGAAGGTGCAGCCTGCTGCCACATTCCCCCCACCATGTCAGGAAACCACTGAGAAGCTCAGGGAGGAGGACAACTGGAGCATCCCAGCTGCACCAGCAAGCCACCAACCTGGCCACCGGATCAGTGCCCTGCAGACCCTCGCCCCGTGGTCTCCACCTGCCCGAGAGCCTGCTGGTGGGGTCAGACAACGTGTGTGTGATGAGGAGGAGGCAGACAATAGCCATCACGGGCTGATGGACAACAGCGTGGGGGCTCTTTGTGCTCAGCTTTGCTGGAATTCAGGGAGTGCACGGGTTTATGGCAGCGTATGCTGGAAAGAGTGAGAGATGGTTTGGGTTCCTGCCTCCAGAATCACGTAGCGCTCAGACACCAAGGTGACGCCTTGCCTTTCAAAGACCACAAGTGGTCAACCCCTTGATTAAATTCAGGCTTTCCTGGAGACTGCAGGTTTACTGTGGCGGTCCTTTCTCACTGCGGCACGTTGCTCGTTACACAAAATATAACATCTTTGCCTCCTACATACAGCAATTCTATTTTCTGCTTTCTTTCCTACAGCAAAACAAATCGGCAACAACATCATAGATGCTATTAGCTTTCAGGAACATTACACCAAAGCTAAAAAAGAAAAACCAGCCTCCGAGCATCCTGCTTAGCTGGGTACTGGTTAGCTGCCATAATAGAAACTCTGACGTCTTCGTTTTTACTAAACTGAGGACCAGCTCTGCCTTCAGATCTGCTCTCTCCTCCTCTAGCTGCCATTTAGAGCTGCACATGATAAAAGCTGTGCAAGAAGCCCCATGTGATGGGACCGATGCCATTGCACCCCTCCATCCATCAGGCAGGGCAGCTCCTCAGACCTGCCCCCGAGGCGGGATGGAGCCTGGTGGGGAGAGGCTGCCATGGAGGGGAAGGAGCCTGGTGGGGAGAGGCTCCCATGGAGGGGAAGGAGCCTGGTGGGGAGAGGCTCCCATGGAGGGGAAGGAGCCTGGTGGGGAGAGGCTGCCATGGAGGGGATGGGGCCTGGTGGGGAGAGGCTGCCATGGAGGGGATGGGGCCTGGTGGGGAGAGGCTCCCATGGAGGGGAAGGGGCCTGGTGGGGAGAGGCTGCCATGGAGGGGATGGGGCCTGGTGGGGAGAGGCTGCCATGGAGGGGATGGGGCCTGGTGGGGAGAGGCTCCCGTCCCAGCACTAGGCCCTGCCCGCTCCCCACCAGTGACCGCCCAGCTCCTGGCACACGGTGCTGAACACGATCCACTACACTTAATAACAGGATTGCTTAATAACAGAGTTGCTTAATAACAGAAGTGTGGAAAAAAAGTTTGGCAGCTCTAGAGAGAGTGGATGTAAGAGTTTTGTATTTTAAGAGTTTTGGAGACTAAAATGCAAGAGCATCTGTAATATTCTCGAAATATTTTGGTTCCAGATGGCTGTACCAAGTACAAAATGATTAGAACTAAGTGCTCAGCAATACTATTTTCATGTAAATATCCATCCAGCCGCTCCGCACAAAACACACGGCAGAACCAGTGAACCAGAATGGGCTCCCACGATGCCCAGGAGAGAGCACGGTCAACACTTTCTGAAAGCAATTAGGCGGACGTGGAAACAACCCCCCCCAGGCACATGAATCCATTTCCCTCCCAGTTAGCCACTTCTTGGTCAAAGCCTTCAGCAAGTTTTGCAGCCAGGGCATTTTCTCCCCTGGCAAACAGCTGAAAGGCCCGTGGAAGCGAGCTCGGGGGGGACGTGCTGCCTCACGGGTCAAAACGGACAGAGCAGGAGCTCGTCCGGTGCATTTTTAATTGGATTGGCGGGCTTGCCTGGAGAGGAGGGATAACAAAACAATTTCTTTGGGTTTGTTGCACCTGTGGAGCTACAGCTGACCCTGGGAGCTGTTACTGCAGCACCTGCTGCAGCTTCTACCACTTAATTACCTCCACCATTGGCT